AAAAAAAAAAAAAAAAAAAAAAAAAAAAAAAAAAAAACAAAAAAAAAAAACATTCAGCTCTAATATTTAAGAGAGATTTAAAATTGCACATTAAACTGGGATTGGGAACAAAGAATGACAGGAATAGATTATGAGTCAAAAGGCGCCAGAGAAAAAAAAGGCCATGAGGCTCAGAATGACTGAACATAGGAGAACAGATGGAGGGAAAAAAAGAAAATTTGATGTAGCCAAACAGAAAGAACCCAAAATGAAAGTGAAAGTTATAGAATAAATGAGGTATTGCACAGATTAATTAAAAAAACAACAACAAAAAACATAAAGGCAACAGAAATATACAGCCAACTTATAGAACATTTATACATTTTGAAATCAGATATTTATTTTTTATGAGACAAGATCAATTTTTAGTGTCATAATTATTTGAGGGTTGGGGGGAAAATAAAGTCTGCTAATCCTCCCATTCATCCTCTTCCTCAAAGTCCTCCTCGTCTTCATCATCGTCATCATCGTCTGCAGAAAGAAAGAGCATTTTTAACTGCAATTTATGAAAAACATATTAAAACGTAATTACAGACATTACTGTTCGTGCAATTGTTTAGAAAATTTCCACACCATGCAACATACCGCCACCACCAGGTTTTATTTATTTTAAACTGTTCATTTAAGTCAGGCATTGCATAAACAGCGGGAAGTTTCTAAAAACAATCGCTCATGCTATGTTCCTTTGCTGTCATTCGTCTCAGTTGCTGCACTCCGAACATTTCGTCACAAACACAAAAGATCAGATGATATTTTGTATTTTATAGCCATATTTATCAACGCAACAGTTGTCAGAATGTCTCATTTTAGAAGTGATGATGCTGAATTACCTGAAGACTGAATAGCCTTGCTCCTCTGCTGCATCGCCTTCATCAGCGCTCCAACAATGCCTGTTGCAGAGCCCGCTGGTGCGGCAGGTGCTGAGTCAGTGTTATCGTCGACCTGTGAAGAGGAGTAAACGTGAGAAGCTGGGGGTGGGGGTGGGGGGTGGGGTTAGGGTGTGTGATGAATAAATGCTCACAGCTTTCAGTTGGATTCCTTGTCGGATTTGGTCCAGAAGTGCGTCCCTGCCGCTGCTGGACACGGGCCTCTCCTTCTGCTCCATCTTCTTCAGCTGGGTGCCCTCCCTGATCTGACTCAGCAGAGCCGACTTGTCCCCGCCCTCAGTGGGGATGGAGGGGACAGGTGGGGGTCCAG